TGTACATCCGGTAGTTCTCGGTTCATGTATTGCTAAAGCCTAGCTTGTAGGATTTTGAGCATAACCTTGCTAGCATGTGATATTAAAGATGATTGGCTGTTAAATCTTATTTCAGCCAGAAAAGTATCCCCAACTGCACCTATGAACACAGTGTAGCTTAAGGAGTCAGGAGACATCATAAGGAGCATATAGTTCTAACCATTCTATATCTTCAATATCTACCAATTGAGATGGTCACTATCCTACTCTGTTTAATAGTAGGGCCAATCCTCAGGCTTCAACAAGAATATAGAAGAGGCTTTCACTAACTAGCTAACATGGTATAGGTAGCTTTTTCTGTTATACAGTGCAAACAATTTATTTTAGTCTTTAATGAAGAAAAATATTTCTTAATCAGAATAATCAACAGTTTTGTAGTTTGTTGTATAGACCATGATGGCTTATAACCAAATCATAGTTAAATATTCTGGCTTATTGTAGTATGGGAACTCAGCCACAGTCTGAGAATAAAAGTAGCATTAGTACAGGTAGTTCTTGGCTTACATCCATTTGTTCAGTGACTGTTCAAAGTTAAGGCGATGCTGAAAAAATGGATGTATGACCGGTCCTTGAAGTTCCAGCTATCGCAGCAGCCCCACAATCATGTGATAGTGATCCAGGTGCTCGGTCGCTCAGCTCGTGATTACAACATTGCAGGGAGCCCTTTCCAACACAAGCAAAGTCAATGGGGAAGCTGGCAGGGAAGGCTGCAAGTTGTTCCGGTAAGTCATTCCCACTTTTTCCCCTGCCCATAGCACACATGCCCTGCGGTCATGTGATGTCCTTCACAACTGCATCACTTAACAACAGCAATCTCGGTCTCAATTGCCGTCGTAACCTGAGGACTACCGATATAGGATTTAGTCTTGCCACAGCTTACTTTCTATTGGGTGATCCACTTTTTTTCCTACAACCTCAAATTTATAGAAATATCCTAGGCAGACATCATCTAAATGAAACAAAGAACAAGTTTATCTTGCCATGCATGCTTACCATTCCTGTACCACTGGATTTCTGGGTGGAAGCGCTTAATGTCAGGGTGGATGATAACTGTGCAGCCCAGACTCATTGTTTCACCTTCTCTTCCAAAAGAAACGTCAAATGCATCCACAAAATGAATCTCAAACCTGGAAGCATAGCCATATGGACTAACACCAACTGTAAGAAGAAAAACGGTGCTCATTCCTTCATTAAAGCTGGATTATTCAACGTCAGATTCTAAACCCTGTTTTCTTCTCCTGAAAAGTTAACTTTTCAGATCCCTAATAGTGGCAGCACTTTTAAACAGACTGCATACAGATCTGGGAAACATATTGTATAAGTAAAAGTTGGTCAGTTTTCTTTACTATAAGATCAAAGTTCCCAATTAAAAACAGATGCCTCAAATTCTCATCACTATTCTTTTTATCATATTATTTAAGTGAGGCTAACTATATTTTAGTGTTCTATAATACTTTAAGTTGATTTCTTTCTTTTTTTCCTCTTTTGATCATGATTTACATGAAAAGGGATGTTATTGTCTGTGACTGGATATTACAAATCTGGGCTATATAACTATGTTCAAAAATGGGTTTGGCACTCCTTTAATTCAAACTGTGTGTATTAGTTTAAGAACAGTCCTGAAAAATTCAAAGACTGGTCCTTAAATTAGAACATTAATCAGTGAGAGATTACACTGTTGCTTTTGTGGTTGTCTTCATTCTGAAATCACCTGAACAATAAGTTTAGGGAACCAGATAACCTATGTGAAAGCAATACTGGCAAAATAGGTTCTATGCCTTCAAAAGGTTGGATTTGTTACTTTCTGCCTTGGGCATTTTTCTTTCTTTTCTGACTAAATGTCATGTCAACTCTGATTTCCATAATAACAGATGCATTTTAGAATCCTAATGACAGAAAATTATTGTTTTCCTGTGTCAGTCTTTGTTTTGTTCACCGAATAGCAAAGTAATTCTTACGAAGGGCAGTTAAAGTCACTGGCAATCTAATGAAAACTAGATAAGCAGTGAATTCAGCAGGGCTGCCAGATCTGGGCTGCAAAAAAGATGGATATTAGAGGTTTTTGTACCTCTTTCCTACCACCAAGTGGTCAACTGGAATTTGCAGCCCATATTTGATAGCTCCAAGGATTAGACTTAAAATGGGGGTTCTCAAACTTTGTGATGCTGTGATCCCTTAAAATAATGACTTAATTGTAGAACATGGATGACAGAAAAAAGTAAGGTTATAATTGCATAGTATCAGCATGAAGTGGCTTTTTGCCAGATACTTTATCATACATTTATGCTTAAAATAAAGCACTTAGAATTTTAAAATAAAATTCTACCTGATACATTATCAAAAGCAATAGATAGAAATAATATTCTCCCCTTCCAAATTGCATTTGATATTGTAGTGTAAGATAAAGCATTAGAAAATATTATACTTACTACTTTCAAAAGAAAAGAGTGTATTTCTTCTGCCAATAATCTCAAAAGGCTATATACTACATTAAAAAATTACACTAACATATCACATTTTTTAATGACCTACTATGAGTTTCCTCGCATTGAAGTTTATCAACAACTTACAGCTTAGGGGTAGTGTGACAGCTCCAGCATGGAAAAAACTTTCATCAAACTCTCCTTTCTTATATCCTATAGTAAAAAACAAAACAAAAAACAAGTTTTCTACTAAGTGGTCATCTGTCTGAAGGCCACAAGACAAAACATTTAGCAAGCAGTGCAAAGAAAATGCTAAAGAATGAGTCTTTGGACAAACCTACTTTTTACTACTACAGAAGCATAAGCCGAAAGTTCTCCTTTGACATTCATGGCAGAAGCACGATATTGAGCAGTGTCTTCAAAATCACATCTGTGAAGAACGAAGGATTTAGGAATAATGTCAGTGTTACCAAAAGGAATGATGCTGTTATATTTTGCAGTATTTTAAAAATAGATACTCTGGTCCCTTCCACACATGATGGCTGTGCCAATTTTAAATTGTTATCATTTTTGCATGTCCCCATGATACATGAGTCTTCCAGTGTGCTTTGTACTGGGCTTTGTGGCTTCAGAAGTTAATTGGTCAACTCCTGCTCCAAAGGAAATGCTGTGAAGACAGAAGACAGCGTTTCTTCATTAAAGCTGAGTGGGCAGTTTCCTATTAGCAGGAATGCCTGCCTCGTTCTGCCTTTTGGTGCCTGTGGCTTCTTCTCTTCTCCTGAAATGAAGTTGCCATGATTACATGGAACCATCCTGCATTACTCTACGGTCCCTACTAAGGGCTACTTTGCCATACCCCTACATAGTGACCCATTGTTTTTCATTTAATTTTTTCCTTGCCATGAAAAGCAAAAACAGTGAGGGAAGGAAAACAAAAGGGTGAGGCACACTAGCTACCATTTTAAGCATCTCCCGCTGGCCACCCAGAAGGAGCACTGGCTGGCTGAAGGAAAGGAAAGGAAAGCACTGGCTGGCTGAAGAATGCTCATGGCATGATAAACAGCAAAGCCAGTACCTGTGTGGAAGGGGCCTTTCTCCCATCTTAGTTAGCAAAATGTTGCTCAAATTTGTTTATCATGTTCTCTGGCCTCCAAGATTGCTCATTCAACTAAATGAAAATGTTAGCATAAGAGAAAAAGGTTATATTGCATGGTAGAATTCAGAATGGTGAGTATGAGTAAGCTTCATGATGATTTTAAAAGCAGATGTGGTATAGCACAGGCAATTTCTTTTAAAATAAAAGGAGCTTGAATTTACCCCATTGTCTAATATCATTGGGATATAAATATTTTACCTTCATTGCATTATTTTCTATGATCTATCTAAGATATTAATACTAGTAGCTAATTTGACTGTTCACTTTCACTTAGTGTTACACTATATATGAATATTTCCCTACTTCCTACATCTCAACAGCATTCTTATTCTTAACACATGCAAGGAAATACCTTTTATTCCACCAAACTTACCCATATTTTACCAATATAATGTTCTATCACTAGACAATAATTTAGTTTCTCTGCTGAATTCAATTCTTGCACAAAGTATTTTCAAAACTCTGTTTAGTAAAGGACAGATGTCAGACAGAATCTTTTGAATGAATGGGGAGCAGGATGGGAATAGGAATACAGCAATGTAGTTAGAGAGATGGGAAAAAGGAAAATATTACACATTATTGAGGGATTCAGCAAAAAGGAGAAATGAGAAAAGCGACTGTTAAAGGATTTGGGTTTGGGGTTTTTTGGTTCGTTTGTTTGGGGGGTTTTTTTTAGTTCTTTCAGCCTTACCTTTGGTTCTCAATATTTCCTCTTGGGAACAAATTTCTCCACAAAAGCAGTTTCTTGTGGACCCCTTTTTCTTCATGGAACAATTTGACTCAATTTATACAACAGGATTGTCTTTTGCCAATGAAGAAATAGGATAATGTGCTGCATAGCACCAAGATCTTATGTCCTATGTAGTTACACTGTAATCTTAATTCTTAATGATATTTTGATTGTATTAGGACCTTAAACCTGATTAGCTACATTTAGGAGGTCAGCCTAAGCATGGTCATAAGATTAAGGTAGAGTTCATGGAAGATGAATGTTAATTCACTTCAGCTGGTATTTTGTACCTCACTTGAGATGATGTGTAAGAAGTGAGGCTTTATGACAGGCACTGTGGTTTTCTCACACTCTATGGGCAAAGAAAGGAGCCAAAGTGCCAATCATAAGAGTAGCTTGAATTCCAAGTCAGGATAGTATCAGCCCAACCATTAGGCAGAATAACATGACTATCCCAGAGGCAATTTTTAGGCATCATGAAAAGGCAGCAAACTGTCAATCATTTAATTTGTCCATAATCTATTTTTATTGCTAGATATTAGGTGAAGGGATTGTGGTATTTTTTGTTTCATCTGCCAAAATAATTTGTCTGAATGCTGATTTTATCCAACATGCTACTCCTGCATCACAAGCAGCAAAAATATCTTATGCCAGACTGCCACATGCAAGTGGAAAGTGCTTCCACTCACACATTGAATGAGGGGTGTTGTCATAATTATTTATTACTTTCCATCTTCCATGACTTTTAGCCCTTCTACTAAGTAGCACATCATTCTGGGAGGGTCTCCTGGATTTCTGTAATTGAGAGAAGCTGCAGTACTTTAGGTTCAAGTTAATACTTGTGGAAATGCACAAATAATTCAGAAGATGCCACAATGTTAAATTTCATTTTGTATACATTAGCTTATTAAAAATGATCCCACGATGGCCATTTTTTTTAGGAAAGCCTAGTCAAAGCAGTTTGTACTGCACAATTTTTATGAAAGGTAAAATCTTCATCTTTCCACCAAAAGAAAAAAGTCGTGGACAATGAATTCCAGATGTACACAGAGTTACATTAGCAGAATAAATAGAGTTTGAATGAAAAAAAAAAAAGAATCATACAAAGCCCTAAGGCTTTGATGAAAGAACTACAGGTAGTCCTTGACGTACAACCACAATTGGACCAGAACTTCCATCGTTAAATGATGTGGTTGTTGAATGACCAATTTCATGACCTTTTTTGCCATGGCCGTTAAATGAATCACAAGGTTGTTAAGTGAATCTGCCTTTCCCCATTGATTTTGCTTGTCAGTAGCCCGCTGGAAAGGTTACAAATAGTGATCACGTGACTCTGGGAGTACATGCCAGTTGCCAAGTGCCCAAATTTTCATCACATGACTGAGGAGTGCTGCGACAATCGTAAGTGCAAGGACCAGTCGTAAGTCACTTTTTTCAGTGCTGTCATAACTTCAAATGGTTGTTAAACGAATGGTCGTATGTCGAGGACTACCGGTATTTGGTTCTAAGCATGTAAACAGAGGCATGTTTGGTAGGTCAATGTTTCTGTCAAAGTCATCTTTACCCTCACTGTTAGTATCTATTAAGTGCTTAAAACTATATTCTAGATAGTAGAATAACTAGAATTAGAAAATTATTTTCTAATGGCTTTCAGAGTAGGATTAGAATCCATCATGAAGATGACAGCAAAAAGAAAAGTAATTTAATAGACTTCTATAATGCTATTATAGAAATTGCTGGTAGATCCTGGAGATGGGTTTTCAAAGCATTATTTTATTTTATTGCTTGAATATATCCTAGTGTTATGTGTTGGTATTTAAGTCAACAATTTAGATATAAAAAGGGGATCTAGATGTCATATGCTAACACAATTATCTGGCAAACAGTTGACCTGCAAATAAATTGTTTCAGCTAAAACAATACCTCAGCAAGGAAATATTAGTTCTTAACGGTCCTTGACCACATTTCTTACAGTAGCACTGTGCAGGAGCTGATGGAACATTATGGATCAATCAAAACCTGACATTTGTCCATAAAGTTATACCCTACTGAAAATCTATATTGTGATATATCTGTACATTACTTGGGGGACCAAAAATATTTTGCTACTGAGTGTTGAGTTATGGGCTAGTTTAAAAAACAACAAGATCAGCACAAAACCTAAAATAGATACAATTCAAAGTCAATTTGTTTTAAAATGCAAATAAAGAAACAAATAAAGATTTGTTTCTTTATAAAAAGAAATAAAGAAGCGCTTGCAAGAGGGAGGTAGTGTGCTTAACATCCTGTCCAAATATTTGATTATTCCTTGTGCAAGAAGGTAAACATTCTGAACAACCCCTGCACTGCAAGATGTAGTAACCTGATTCTTCTTAACCAACCAGTCATATAGGATATCAATATTTGAATATAAAACTGGGCAGGATGCTGGCCTTGTATTGGAATAGAAGTGTTGGTGTAAGGTCTTCCTTAGAATAGTCAAACACTAAATTTAAAAAATAATATGAAAAGGTAGCATTATTATGCAGGAAAATAATTGCACCTTCTAAGTTTTGTGAAGAAAAGGATAATGTCTCAGAAGTAAATTACTTTGCCATGTTTTATTCAAACACAAATAAATAAAACTCCAAATCATGCTTGCATCAAAACCAAAAACACTAATGTTACGTTAATGCACTCTTGTTACTAAAATCTAGCACACTGAAAAATGAATTAAATTTGGCAAACCAATGGCTTACTTTAAGTAAAAAATTTAGAATATATAGATCTAGAGTTTTACATATCTTATTTAATTGATGGCAATATTATGTTAACAGTTTTGCTAAAATTCATGTTATTTATTTCTTTATTTATTATAATTTTTCCTCAAAATGAGACAATTGCTGCAAGATAACACAATTCTTCTTTATCACTTCTATTGCAGTTTGGAATGTTCTGGGGAAATGAAGTAAGATTATCACAGGCTTACTCTATAGATTCTATGACAACTTGATTTCATCTTTTTCAGAGTCTATGCTAATTTATTCACCCAATATCCCAATTCTAAAAGCTCACAATTTTATGTTCTGCTCTTGCTTCTTCTACTTAAGTCCTAAGCAATGCTGCTGCTGTAGGGGATCCAAGAAGAACTGAGTGGGAGCACTCTGGAGGGCAGGCTTTTCGGAAAAATCTTTCAGCTCTATGAGGTGTCCCAGTATATGAGTAAAACTCTACACAGTAACAGAATCAATATGCATAATATTGCGCAGAGATCAGTAAGAGCAGCCTGGAGCAATTCCTTGTTGTTTATGGAAATGTTTTCTAGTCCATCTTTCTTTTAATTCTGCTTCTTTCCCACCTCGACACTCCACTACAATGTACCTCTTTTGTGATACTTCTTAAGGCACTAAGATATATCCACCACATTACCTGGGAACAGGATGTTGTAACAATGGTGCATATCTAAGCTACTTCTAACAAAACACTGCATATCCAGGAATACTCTCTGTATTCCCGTTTTCCACATCAAATTGAAAATGTGTCCCCATTATAAGGCACACATATG